TCATTTTTTATTCAATTCAAAGTTTGAAATCAAGCTATCTCGTGCTACTGCACCAAAATTACCCCACTGTAAAATTGAAAAAACACTGAGTGAGCAAAAATTTGTGAGATAGCTATTTATAATGGTAATTAAATCATGTTTACATATGTATAAAAGCCTACATTAAAATCTGTCATATAAATAGTTATTTTCATTAGAAATTAGCCTACTGATTGCCACCATTGATGGACAAATTTTTTTTATAAAATATCTGTATGACATTATATTCTGCAGTTCTTCCCTGTTGTACCGAATAGGGCTGGGTATCGAGTTCGATACTTTTTAGGCACCGACCGAATTGCCTCGATACCATCGAGTATCGAAAAACGTCTCGTCGTTCAGTACCAAATTTCGATACCTAAGGGGTTAATCTCGTCAGCGTCAGTGAGCCAATAAGCCTGCAGCACTAGCCGGTGTGTTCGACTAGAAGTGGTGCGGCGCAGATTGATCAGTGTTTGACATCCGCAAGAGCGATTAGAAAGCACACGGAGCAGTCTGCTCTCTATAGCGCTCATGGTACTGTAATACACTGATCGGTCTGCACAGTCGGTTCGCGCCAAGTCGAACACACCTACTAGTTCACACCTACACTAGCTACACTTGGAGATGTGGCGCACACGTGAGGCTGTAGTGTGAATGCGTCCCAGCCCCCATAGATGTAAGGCTACATTTACACTGCTGCGTTTATGTTTTAAAATGAAAACGATCCTCGTCATGCTGGCGTTTCCACTGCGTTTCAAGCTGGCTTTCCACTATCTCCGACAAATGACAAGCGACAGACCGGTCATTCAGTCATTCATTTCCAATGGAGAGTAACGCGGGAGCTGCATGGAGCTCCGATCATATGCAGATGTCCGTTCATACTAACGTTACACGACCGGCGGTCTCAAAAAATTTCCTTGCACGCGGATGGGGTGCGCGGCTGTCCGCGGGCCCTCCTGATGACGAAAATGACGTAATGTGGACGCGGACGGTCGAAGTATACTTTGGCCTTAAGCCTGCAGCACTAGCCGGTGTGTTCGACTAGAAGAGGTGCGGCACAGATCGATCAGTGTTTGACATCCGCGAGAGCGATTCGAAAGCGCACGGAGCAGTCTGCTCTCGTGGCATAACTTTGATTCTCGCTGTAGTATTTTTGATGCAAATGATCACGCAAAGAAAGAAGGCGTAACTTTTATTCTTGCTGTAGTATTGTTGTTGCCGCCGCCATGTCGTGAA